ATGCATCTCAGGTAAAGCCATATACGATATCGTAAAACCTTTTGCGTCTTAGCCATTTTTTTTTTTTTTTAGCATTTTTCTTTTTCTTAGACAGTGTCCCTTTTCTGGGAGAATGTAACCACAGTGAAATGTTCTGATACGAAGTGTTAATTCTTACTCATTTAAGAGTGTTTAAACCCAATACTTTGAATATTGCAGAAAATTTTAAAACGCAGATTTTCCTCTTGACTCAGTACGTTCTTGTATAGTGAATACAGTCATACGTTTAGCCTTATTAATTTCTTTTATTTGAGTGGATTTGAACGAAGTATAAATTCTCCTCACACTTATCTGGTTGTTGTAATAATATACTTTTGTTTTGGTGACGAAACTCAACGTAACGTAACGTATTTCGGCTACGTTGCGAAGATGGAAAGTTACAGCGAGATTCCTTTATATTTTTTGACCAGTATTAACGAGTTCGAAAATTTTAAGAACAGGAAACAGTGAAAGAAATTTCAGTTCCTTTCCCATAAAGAAAAACGTTTCAAAAAGAGATCTGGTGCTTATTTAATAGACAGAACATTTTGCGATAAATTGATGTCACTAAAATGTTATACCACATTTATAATATCTTCTGCGGTGTTATAATACTTATCATTATTATCATTTTCAATATTATTATTGTAAGCTATGATAATTATTACCTTCATCATTATTATAATTACAATGCCATTACAACTGCTATTATGATTATCACTACTTCTAAAAAGTTTAGCTGTAAATCCAGTAATAATACCAGAAATAGTAATTATATTTAAGTGATACTGGTTTAATACTGATATTCCTCGTGACATTTTGTTTGAAGTGCGATGCATATAAATTGCATTTTGATGATATTGGGGTATAACCAATCAGAACGGGTGACTAAGTGCAAAGAGAGAGAAAAGATTTTATTCGATATTAATTTTTTTTTTCTTGTTTTAAGTTCTTACATTAGTTGTTTTTATGATTTATCTTTTACTGGTTTCAATCTTTCTCTCTTTTTTCGTGTAACTCCCACGTAATTATTCATCACAATTCATCATACGCTTTATTAAGTTACCAGTTACTATTACTCTTACCACAATGATCAACTTATCAAGTATTCCCCAATTCCCTAATTCCCAGATTCCCCCCACCCCTTTCTTATCCCTCCCCCACCCCCTATCCCCTCATTCCCTCCCTCCCCTAGCAGCTAGCATCACCTCACCCTTCCTCTCCCTTCTTCCTCCCAGACTCCTGACGGCGGCGGTGGTGGTGGCCGTCGTCGCCGCTTACCCGAGTCTTTGGGAACTGGACGCTTTTGACGATGACCTTGTGGATTTCGAGGTCGCCGACAGGGAGAGGAGGAATTCGAAGCCTCGAGGGGTAAGGAAGTCAATGCAGTTTTGCCCTTTTGATGATTTTATTAACGCTAAATCTAGCAAACTTAAATGATTCGCACCGACATACCCACCCATACCCACATACTGACTCAGCATACTCATCCATCCTTTTCTTCTACCCCCGGTCTAGAAACCGGTGAACAGTTCAAGTTCGAGTGAGAGCAGCAGTGAGAGCAGTAGTGAGAGTAGCAGTGAGAGCAGCAGTGAGAGCGAGGAGGACACGCCATTGATTAGATCGGTGAGGAGTCCACACCCCGCGGAGGAAACGAAGACCGAGGAGACGACGGAGGAGGAGAAGAAGGAGGGAGAGACGAAGGAAGAGGAGAAGAGAGAGTCGAAGGAAGAGGAGAAGAAGGAGGAAGAGGAGAAAAAGGAAGAGGAGAAGAAGGAGGAAGAGAAGAAGAAGGAAGAGGAGAAAAAGGAAGAGGAGACGAAAGAAGAGGAGACGAAGGAAGGAGATTCGGAGGAAGAGAAGAAGGAAGATCAGCTGGAAGACGAGAAGAAGCCAGGGAACACGACAGAAGAAGCCATCACGGAGGGAAACGAAACGACCACCATGAACCCATCGTCAGGAAACTCCAGGAGGGAAATCACGACAGCGAAGCCCTCCGAAGATACGACCACGACACCGGAACCCTCTGAAGATACCAATACCACGACCACGGAGCCAAGTAGACCCAAGAGAGATGCCACGACGCCGAGTCCCTCTGACATCAGCACGACCACCGAAGCCAGTGACAAGGAAGAGGAGAAAGAAGATAAGAAAGAAGAGGAGGAAAAGGAAGAAGAAGAGAAGGTAAAGGAAGACAAGAAGGCAGAAGATAGCAAGAAAGAAGAAGAGACGAAAGAGGGAGACACGAAGGAAGGAGGAGAGGAGAAAGAAGACGAAAAGGAAGATGGAAATAAGAAAGAAGAGAAAACAAAATAGTAAGTAGATTTTTGGGAGGTCGTGGTGTGATATTTTCTCCTCTGTTTTGAAATCTCTCGCTTGTTCATAAGGATTCATGTACTTTTTTTTCCTATCTCATATTCACTCTTTCGTAAGTGATTAAACCAAGATGGAAGTAAGGAGATGAATAGATAATACAGAATAA